GGCGGAACGAATGCTGACCGAGTTTGACAATGCTTGTGGAAAGATCGAATTGAGACTGAACTTAAGGAAGACGATGTTCATGAAAAACGGTTTGGTACCTGATGCTCCCTTCACGCTAAACGGAAAGAATATCTCCGAATGCTCTAGCTATGTGTATTTAGGTCGGGAAGTCAACATGATGAACGACCTAGCTCCGGACCTGTGCAGAAGGAAACGCGCCGCGTGGGGAGCATTTAAGAATATCGAGGGAGTATTGAAGAAAACAAAGAACATCCGGCTCCGCGTTCACCTTTTCGACACTGCTGTTCTTCCTGTTTTGACGTACGCCTCAGAGAGTTGGACTCTACGAAAGCAGGAAGAGCATGCTGTCAGCGTTGCTCAACGCGCTTTGAAAAGGACGATGCTCGGAATTTCCCTGTACACGCAAGTGCAGAAGGTAATCCGGAGTTCCGAGCTCCGTCAACGAACGAAGATCAGGGATGCCGTTGACTACGCCAAGAAATCGAAGATCAGGTGGGCCGGACACGTTATGCGATATAGTGATGACCGTTGGACCAGGACGGTTACTGACTGGATCCCTCGGGAAATCAAACGAACTCCAGGAAGGCCGCCAACGAGATGGTCAGACTTCTTACGAAAGCTCTAAACGAAAGGAATGTTGATCCTCGTGTCCCTGGAGCGATTCATTGGACCACTCTGGCTCGTAACAGGGACGAATGGAGACGTTACTGGCGCCCGCTCGAGGAAATCGACGATCAACGGGACGACAGGTGATACAGGTGATATAGTGAATGTCCCTAAGCCAGTCGGATAGTTTCCTTCCTGGTTTTATTGGAAATTTTTAGAAATTAATAAATTACTTACATTTGAAAATTGCTGAAGGTTAGGATTGCCAGTGAACTGAAGTTTCGAACGCGTCATATTGAATCCCGGTTGTGTAGACAGAGTATTGCGAGGATTCAAAGCATCGATTATCGATTTGTAGACCCCATCGTGGGAACTGAATGGACGTATAAGACCACCGAAAAGTCTCAATAACTGTAGAAAAGTAGTAGGAGTCAATCGAAACGCTCTAGGACTCACTATGTAAATGCCTGTCCATACAACGGGTTCACTGTTGGCGTCGGTGGACAGTTCTTGACTGCAGCATTCGCAAGCTTCTCCAGGTCGCAATCCCATGTCTACAATTCATGAGAAAAAGAGTAAATGCCATAGACAGAAAGAAAGAGAGAGAGATCGAAGGATTACGGAGTTTCTGGGAGTTAAAATGGCAATTTGTTGAAAAAGATATCCCCTGTATATGAAAAAACCGTATCTTTTCATAACTGTCAGCTATGGTGCTGCTCTCGTTCACCCTGCCTCCCAGGGACCAATAGGTCCACTGTTCCAGGTTATTTCATACCAGGTTTGGCTGGGAATCGGCGTGATTCCAGCAAGGTCACCTGTTAGTAACAGCCTTTCCCTCATTTCCCGAGTCCAACACTCCGTGAACTCAGGCAACGAATAAATTTGGTGGCACACTTGGAAGTTATGGCCCATTATCATGGTTCATCACCAGATACCTCTACTTCCTACTGCTTACTACCGACGTCCTCTACCACTGTCGACATTTTCGATCCATCTGCCATCCTCATCAGTTTCTATAGTTACGGTTGACAGTGAATACTGGAAAGCAACAAAAGTTGGCGATTTTCTGTTGACGATTTCAGTAATCATCTCTTATCACTTCTTACAGCCCAGCATCGGTCTTTGCTACCATGTGATCACTAACCATATCAATTTCCAGTGAGAAGCCTGCCAGATACATGCAAAATAAGTGGAGAAATCAAAACAGTCTTCCTATTACCACGTTATGTGGGTTATTATCACTTCGAATCACTTCTTATCACCCATTATCTAGTTTTCCACTTTGTTTGGCGAACCAGTTCATAGTTTTTTTAAATTCGTTAGATTTAGGATGTCCTGCAAACTCCACATGTTCTGCTCCTCACCAACTCCTCTTTCGATGTCCATTGTCACTCCCTTTCACCCGTTTCGACGTTTGTGTGGTCGTTCCTTCGCAGTATTGCTGTGACATTGAGTGGTTTTGCACGGGCGATTTTCTAACACATCGGTTCTTCAGAGGTTTCTTGCTGTCCTCTGCTTGCGAACGGTATCAAATTCTTTTACCTCTACAGTTTCTACAGCTAGACATCACTGGTTCTCCGTTTTCTATGATATACCTATCCCTGCTTGTCAACATTGTCAATTGATTTCGTTGACTATTTTTTTCACAATGGAGTTTTTTCTTCCCCTTCATGACGCATTGATGGAAATAAGAATGTCATAAGAAACCTCCAGCCAGTATCGGGACTCATCTGACGAGAACTATTTTCTGCGAAGGCATCTCAATTCAATGGTAACAACCGAGTGACTTACCAGCACTTGCATATTTTTAGCCTTCGGTAGCGTCAGCCCACCGACCACCATCCATCCACCGCTGCTCACATCACTTCGCATCTGATTATAGGCTTCTAGAATACCTGCCCGATCAGCATCTGTTATGGAGGAGCCATCAGAGCACTTGCTATTCACCGAGTAAGTGGGAAATAGATCAGACGACGAACAGAATCGACCAACCTAAATACTTCCTGTTGTTCAAAATCTAATTTTCGATCAGAAAATTTTAAAAACTCGCCGTCAGAACTAAAATGAGACATGGTGACGTTGTCATCGCGCGTCGGCCGGCCTATCTGTTGACGATGGCTATGAAGAATGAGTTCATATGACTTTTTCATAATCGCCGATTTCTCCATTTCTCGGTTTTGCTGAACCGGTCGCAGAGCCGCCGTTCAGCGAGCGATCTGCCCTTGAAGAACACCGATATTGTTACAAAAATTATCCGTGCAAAGCCACTAAATGGTACAACAATGAAAAACGATGCGGTGAAGTTGTTTGTTTGTTTTGCCAAACAGGACTGTTTCTTTACTTCGTTACTTCCCTAATGGTCGATGTTTCGGTACAGCACTACAGATTAGGGCGGTTCTGCAATGCTTCTGAATCCATTGATGTACCACCACGGTCGACTTTGGCTTTCTAAAGAAATGCTCCCGATTCACTTGGCCTATAAAATGAACGGCCTGAGCAGCTTTTTGATTTCCAAGTTGTGACAAAGCGGAAGAAGCCGAAGCGTAAACCTAATAACGCAAAAGTGCTGTATAATTTCAAAGCGGCTCCAGTAAGAACAGACTTGCCCCAAAATCGAAAATCTGTTATTTGGCTTTGCATTTTGACTTTTTTGCTCCTTCGAAGTTCTTCTGACAGCTCCTCGGTCTGCGATCACCACACGTCCTTGTCAGTTGCATTTCCGAAGTCGCATGTATCACGAACGTTTTAGAAAGACCTGACTGCGATAATGTTGGATTCACCATAGATCTCCACGGTTGCTATCGTCCTACTCACGATACGCTCTTAGTAATAGTGAAGATTCACGGTGAATCCAATATGCAGTCGTCCTTTGTAAATATGTCATTTTGAAAGAATAAGTCTAAGTGAGCTTCATTGAATCTATGTGGGTACCCGAACCACTTTAGTTCATTGTCACTAGTGGAGGTAAAGTTTTAATATTGAAGGTAAGAAATCGTCGTAATTCTGCTGAGGAAGCTCTAAACTTGGTTGTTACTGGAAAAAACTTTATTTATTTGTTAGTTGCTTTTTCTTGATGTTTATTTTTTATGTGAACGTATAGCCTTTTGTGAGACCCGGCACCCTGTAGCCCTGTGTTCAACGGAGTTCAGAAATAATCGACGACCTGATTCTTGTCTATCATTGCCACATTGTGGTCGCTCGTGCTCGGCCTTGTTTCTGCTGTTTGCACGTATTTCTGCAATAGTATGTGATTAGGGAACATAAATCAAGATATTTTTCCATTCAGGTTTCACTACCATTTTACGCAACCGAAATCATCAGTCAATTTTGCCTGGTGTGTCGTTAAGGCATGAGAACTAAAAGTGGTTCGAAACTTTCAAGTGGACCTGGTGCATTATGACTGTTCCTCGCATGTTTGGAATCAATGATACGTTTTGGATTTTATCGCTGCTAAAACGAAGCAGTGATTTCTGATCTAAATTGATGGAAAACTCAGTATTGTCTTCTCAGTTCTGCCTATAAATGGACTACAGGTACCCTGAGAAACTCAGTTCCGCTCATAGATCGAATACAGGTACCCTAAGAAGTTCAAGACGTTAGGGTAAGATCGACTGGTCGCTTTGGACTGCGGCTTTTTTCGAATGTTCACCCCCTCGAGCGTGAATGTCATTGAAGCGGCCGCAGCGTGCATCATATTCGATAACGGGTGATGGACGTAACGATACCGTATTATAAGGAAGGATACGATGTGATAATAAGAATACGGTATTGACCCTTGTCACTTGCAGATACCGAGTGATAAGGACTGATAATTGGCTATACCACCGAGTGTGTCACCGAAATTATTCTCGCCTCGTTCGCAGAGAGTAAGACTTAGCCAATAAAGCTTTCTCAAATCGGAGTCTGAAGTTGGTCTTATTTCTTACGTACTTGTGCCAAGCCGGCTCTCACCGCAGTAGGCGACGGCTTTTTTTCAATTCCCCATTTCGTAAAGAATAAGAATATGGAGTCCCTAGCGAGAATCGTAGTGACGCTATGGATGCGAACGTGGCCTATACAATGATTGTGATTGCTGCTCATGTACAAGTTGGTGTTATTATTCTCCCAGACGAGCCTGGTATCAACTTACCGACTCTGAGGGAGGAAGGCTTGACTGGCGTGGAAGAACATCGATTCGTGGTCCGACTAGACCATGGGTGTGCGAAAGTGCGCCACTTGCCATTGAACCATCTCCGCTCCTCATCCCGATTTTTGAAACTTAGGAAGACTCTGATAGGGGTGAATAATGGAAATAGGGCTCATCCTCTCCATTTACATACCCAAAAAGCATCGATCTTCACTCGCTGGGTCTATCTTTGTCTGTGCTAGTTCCTCCCCGAAGGGTCCACGCTGTAAATACGGGAGTGTTAGAAGATAGAGAAGTTTGATCTGATAGCTGTGAAATTATGGACCCTTCAAGTGATCTTTGGGTTTCTAAAGAAGGCGATAAGGTCAAAACATGTGTAAGGCCAAATAACAACAAAGATTTCTATCTTACAGACTCGTTTGGCAGAAGTAATAAACACCAACTTATGTATAGTGCCCATTTTTAAGACACGAAAGTTATTTGAAGGGCAGAGTTAGGTCTGGGGAACTTTTTAAAGCCACCAAAGCCTTTGATGCTACAGTAACAGTGTAAATACCATATAGTACAAGTAGAAATGCCTTTTTTTACCTATTTTGGATTTTCTCGTCCAGTACCTACCATTCTGGTACTCATTGAGTGTTTTTAATCACAGCATGTGCTACCTGTTATATTCTTGGTCATCAAATCAGAGAGGCTCTCGCCATTATCTTCTCCAAAGTTCTGTCTTTGGCTGATGATCGAGGAAATCCTCTTCGCCGAGGAATAGAAACGTTTGAAGAAGTGTTATGATGAGGTTCAGTGCCGAAGTCATTCTAGGGACGAGTTGGATGGATTGAAGGAAGGATGGTCAGAAGCCGTCGAGAATGTGGTCATCTTTGTACCACATCCGACATCTCCTGTCATCCAATGACGAGAAAATCAGAAAATATAATAGAAGAAGGTTCAGTTGATAACTCGATTTGTCCCAAGAAATGCTAGACGCCAGTCCATCCTGAAGAGTGGCGGTCTGCGGAAGCATTTTTAATGCAACTTGAGCCTGGTTCACCTCGTTTCCGAACGATTTCGCTCTTTGACAGTGACACACACGGTCTCATCTTGACTCGAGATTCGATGTAATTGGACTTTTTCGCTTTTTTATGGATTCTTTACTTCTTACTTCGTTTTAGTTTCAAGCTTGGAAGAGAGAGATCCCGGATACTGAAAGCTGTTAATAACTTCCCAGCTTCATCCAGTTTACAAAGAACCACTAAAGGTGCTGAGGGTATGTAGGGAGCTGTAGGTGTGAGGTTGCTGGAGACTTGTTTTCCAGTAGAAAAATGGTATGACATGTACTGAAAAAAAAGATTGGAACCCATTCTACAACCTGTTATCGTAGTGTCGAGTATCGTCAACGTCTGGAAGAATTTGATAGGGTCTCGTGTTTTATTAGAAGAAAAGAACTGATGGCTTAGATTGCGGCGTTTAGCAGACTGACTGAACATCACAGGAGATCCTCTCGGAACCAGCTACCTTTCACTTGGTTTGGAACCCGATTCTGAGCATATCAACTGCGCTATCGGCTCTCAGAATCTCAGATCCCACAGATATTCCCTATTCAACCGCATGGATCGTTCCCATGGACCCATCGAGGCAGCTCATCTTCACTTATATAAATTCCTCTCTTTGACCATTGGCTTTTGCTCTGTCCTTGTCTTTACAGCCAGCCCAAGAGAAGACTTAGCGCTCCGTTAGCGCATTTGCTAGCTCTCTAGGATCTGTTCTCAGCAGCGAGAAGATATGGTTTTACTGTAATCTGATGTATGGTTACCTATCGGGTTCGATTCAGTGGCGCCCAGTACTACAACTTCTTTGAGTATAGACTTTCTCCATCGTGGCCTTGGTATTGGTAAATGAGCTGGGAACAAATGTACATGGCTAATGGTACGGCAAACTGATACTAAAAAACTCCTTCCGGGGTAACAATAGCCAATTTAGTCCGAAAAAAAACCCGTACGTATTCGTTTTGGTTCTTGAGACCAGTGGATGATGATGGGAGTCCCACAGTGAATGTTTTTCCGGTTGACCGATTTCTGTCCATCAAGACGAGGGACTGACCTCAATAGTCTCAAAAAAACCTTACAAAATCCTTGACCTAGTCTATTGTTACATAATTTTCTACCATGGAAAAGTCAGGAATCTCTGGTCGCTCCTACTGTTCGTCCTATGGGAGGACGAGGCCGATTTGGCCATTGTATGTATGGGACCATAAAACAATGGGGTATGTTTGGTGAGCCACTTTGATCTAGCCGATACACCAACGAAAATGTATTTGTTGCGATCGGATCAGAATAATAACAGCAGCTAATCCCATTTTGATCAACATACAGTACCCCCCATAAACAGGGGTACTGTATGTGGGGGGGGGGCGTGGCTTTTTGACTAGTCATCGGAGGACGAGTTGTTCATACCTTCAAAAGGGCGCACCACCTCGGGCCCGTAAGAATTCCACATTTTTATGCGATTTGCCGTGGCTCAACTGAAATATGTTATTGTTCTGAACTACTTTTCGTTACTATTCTCATACTTTGTGGTTGTTTATTTGTTTACAGCTTGCCATTATTGATTTTGTGGTTCCTGTTTACCAATTTGTGGCATGTCATTGTACTGTACTACTAACTATTATCATTTTTGAAAATTTTGATTCGTTCTCCACGAATATTATCAAACATAAACTCTAGATAACACATATATTCAATTACTGTTAAATATCATTCATAATCACGGAAAATAGCGAAATCTATTGAGTTCCAAGGTGTTGTAGACAATATGGGATTAGAGGCCATCACCTGTTCGATCGATATAAATCATTTATTGATTGATTACATGGTTGCTACGGTACTGTCTCCGGTCCGCTCTCGTTCATTAAGAAGGACAGACATCAATCGGGCATAGACAGATGTTACGCCTGACGATATGGTAAT